TTCTTAAAGCTCAAACTCGACATTCAAAGGCCCAAAACTCATGTTCTTGGTTCAAAAATGTGGAAACACATTATATATCATGAGTATACAAGCAATGTGAGGCCAATTGCTCAAAATCATGATCCAATTCTTAATTCATCTCAACAAAACACATAGCTTCAAAATTAAACTTCAATATACATATAACCAAACTCCATAAACTCCTTGAATTATACATGCATGTGTACTATAGGCTCCAATACCTTTCCAAATGGCACAAGTGATGTTTATACTCATGAAACTCAACAAAACCATGCTTGCATGTATGATTCAACACTCAATTTCTCATATTCAACTTGTTACATGCTTGATGATGCAATTTCATGGTAATTCTACACACGCATGTGCACATAAACTTCAATTTCATCATAATCAACACCATTCATGTTCTTGATTACCATTTAACCTTGAATTCACAAAATCACAAACTCAAACTCATAAATTTACTCACCTAGAAGTTCAAGTCTTCCAAATTCTAACTCAATTTCTCATATTCAACTTGTTACATGCTTGATGATACAATTTCATGGTAATTCTACGCACGCATGTGCACATAAACTTCAATTTCATCATAATCAACACCATTCATGTTCTTGATTACCATTTAACCTTGAATTCACAAAATCACAAACTCAAACTCATAAATTTACTCACCTAGAAGTTCAAGTCTTCTAAATTCTAGTTAATCCTTGAGTTAAACTCCAAAATCTTCGAGCTTCTTGAGCAATTCTCTAACTTGAGCTCTCTCTTTCTCTCTAACCGGCACACACTCTCTCTCTCTCTCTCTAGAGTGTAATCTCAGCAAAAATGAGCTCAAAACCATAATATGAAGCTATATAGGCCCTCATGTAGGATGGCCTAATCAAATTTTGATTAAGGCTAATCAATAGTGCTTGATTAATCGTTCTGAATCTAATTATTTTGATCTGAATAAATTTTCAATTAAAATTCACCATAGGCTCTAAAAATTACGTTAATCACAATGGCAAGATTAATTTCAGTTTCTGTGGCCGATAAGGCCTTCAATTTAAATTCTAAAGCAGAAAATCAGACAGATTTTTCTACGACAAAGAGATAGAAATTCAAAACCACATATAACCATAAAAATGACACTCAAAATCATATTAAACACATAACCACAATCGTAAATAAGATCAATTAACATAATACGGAACAGGGTTATCACAGTCTTGCCCCTTTTAGAAAGTTTGGTCCTCCAAACTTATTTTACCTTCATTGGGAAACAAATGTAAATAGCGTAGTCGCATTTCATCTTCTTTTTCCCATGTTGCGTCCGTCCCATAGTGTTCTTTCTATTCCACTTTCACGATCGGGATGGACTTGCTTCTTAATTGTTTCACTTGGTGGTCTATGATTTGTTCTGGCCATTCTACATACTCCATATTTTCATCGAGAGCTATCCGGTGATAATCAATCACATGAAATGGATCTCGAAAATAACCCCTCAACGTTGATACATGAAATACATTGTGCACTTGTTCCAATCCCGGTGGCAAAGCGACTCTATAAGCAACTGGACCAAGTTTTTCCAAAATCTGAAACGGCCCAATGTAACGAGGTGACAATTTACCCTTCATTTCAAACCTTACTTGGCCCTTCATCGGAGTCACATGGATAAACACATGGTCACCAACCTCATAATTGAGAGGTCTTCTTCGAACATCTACATAATTATTTTGTCAGTCCTGAGCTGTTTTAAGCCTCTGTTGGATGATTTTAATCTTCTCAGAAGTGTCTTGCACAATTTCAGGCTCAAGCAAAGCTCTATCTCCAACTTCTATCCAACAAATTGGTGATCTACACCTTTTACCATACAAGGCTTCATATGGTGCCATACCGATGCTAGAGTGGAAGCTGTTATTGTAGGCAAACTCTGCTAATGACAAATAATCTTCCCAATTCTCTTGAAAATCTAAAGCACACATTCTAAGCATGTCTTCTAAAGTCTGTATGGTCCGTTCTGATTGCCCATCTGTTTGTGGATGGAATGCAGTACTGAATCTCAATTTTGTTCCCATAGCTCTTTGCAAGCTTTTCCATAACCTAGACACAAATTTCGGATCGCTATCCGACACAATAGACACCGAAACTCCGTGTAAACGAACAATCTCATCAATATATATAGTAGCCAATCTATAAGCATCAAATGTAGTTCTAACAGGCAGAAAATGTGCAGACTTAGTCAGACTATCTACTACAACCCAAATAGAATCCATACCTCGAGGAGTTCGAGGTAGACCAACGACAAAGTCCATAGTCACATGCTCCCACTTCCATTCAGGAATAGGGAAAGGCTAAAGTAGACCGCTTGGTTTCTGATGTTCAGCTTTGACTTGCTAACATTGAAGGCACTTGGACACATACTCTGCAATCTCTTTTTTCATTTTGGGCCAACAGTCACTTGGTTTCAATTCTCGATAAATTTTATTATTACCCGGATGCATAGCAAATACTGACTCATGAGCTTCATCAAGAATCCTCCTCTTTAACTCGAGAATGTTCGGAATACACAATCTATCTTGGAATTTCAGCACCTCATTTACCACACTATATCCTAGTCTTGGATTCATTTCAAATTCATCAACTATCTTTTTAAGGAATTCATCCTATCTGTTTCTGTTTAATCTTCTCAATGATTACTGGTTCAGTTGAAATAGCGGCTATCAATCTGCCTTGCTCACTTAATACCACTTCAATCTTGGACTTCTCGAAATCTTGCAAGATCTCTTTTTGTTGAGTAAGCAAACATGCCAAACTTCCCATCGATTTCCTGCTCAGGGCATCAGCAACTATATTGGCTTTCCCGGGGTGATACTGGATTTCAAGATCATAATCTTTTATCAATTCAGGCCATCTTCTCTGCCGCATATTCAAATCCTTCTGCGTGAAGAAGTATTTCAGACTTTTGTGATCTGTGTAGACTTCACATTTTGCCCCATACAAATAATGCCGCCAAATTTTTAAAGCAAATACGACTGTGGCCAATTCTAAATCATGTGTCGGGTAGTTTTTCTCATGTGGCCTTAACTGCCGAGAGGCGTATGCAATCACCCTTCCATTCTGCATTAATACACAACCCAAGCCTTTATAAGATGCATCACTGAAAATCACAAAGTTTTTCGTATTTGATTACAATGTCAAAGCTGGTGCGGTGGTTAGTCTCATTTTCAGTTCATGAAAGGCAAATTCTCTTTTATCATCCCATTCAAACAGTTGCCCTTTGCATGTCAGTTGGGTAAGAGGCACAGCTATTTTTGAAAAGTCTCTCACAAACCTTCTGTAGTACCCAGCTAAGCCCATAAAACTGCGGACTTCTGTTACATTTGTTGATGTACGCCAATTCACAATTGCCTCTACTTTCTGTGGGTCTACTGAAATTCCCTCTTTGTTAATAACATGCCCTAAGAAAGTAACTTCACCCAACCAAAATTCACATTTCTTTAGTTTGGAAAATACTTTCTTTTCCCTAAGTATCGGCAACACAGTCCTCAGATGTTATTCATGTTCAAGTCTATCCTTTGAGTATATCAAAATATCATCAATAAAAACTACAACAAATTCATCAAGGTAGGTCTTAAAAATTCGGTTCATTAGGTCCATAAATACTGCAGGAGCGTTAGTCACCCCAAATGGCATAACAAGAAATTCATAATGACCATACCTTGCTCAAAACGCAGTTTTCTCAACATCCTCTGCTTTTACTTTCAGCTAGTGGTATCCGGATCTAAAATCAATTTTGGAAAACACTTGTGACCTTTGCAACTGGTCAAACAAATCATTAATACGAGGTAAGGGATATTTATTCTTTACTGTTACCTTATTCAGTTCTCGGTAGTCAATACACAAGCGTAAGGTTCCGTCCTTCTTTTACACAAATAACACCGGTGCACCCCACGGTGAAGTACTGGGTCAGATAAACCCTTTATCCAGTAAATTTTGCAATTGTTCCTTTAATTCTTTCATTTCAGCAGTAGCCATTCTGTAGGGAGTTTTAGAAATAGGCTGAGTGCCTGGCACAATTTCAATAGTAAACTCTATCTCCCTGTCCACCAATTCCCTTGGTAATTCATTTGGGAACACATCTGGGAATTCTCTAACAATGGGGATACTATTCAATTCAACATTCTCAGATTGTTCAGATAGCACACAACACAAATAACCCTGGCACCCTTTCCTGATTAGTTTACATGCTTTCATTACAGATATCAAATAAGATGGAGGCACTACCCCGTTACCCACAAACACAATTTCTTCCTGTTCTGGAGGTCTAAATACAACTCGCTTTGTTATACAATCAATGGTGGCACAATATTTAGTTAACCAATCCATGCCCAGAATCACATTAAAATGTCTAAAATCCAAGGGCAACAAGTCTACATACAGGATAACATTCCCAATATGCATGTCACAAAATCGATATACAAATGCACACAGCACAGATTCCCCGGATGGAGCACACACACATAGAAAATATGGCAATGGTTCTAGAGGTCTACTCAGTCTAGATGCAAATGCACGAAAGAGTGCATTGATCCAGAATCAATTAGTACAAAAGCATCCTAATTACATACAGAAATAGTACCTGAGACAATGGCTTCAGCATTCCGTGTATTGCCCGGAACAAGCACAAAAACTCTCTCATACCTTACAGTATCTCCGGTAGTAGTAGATCTCGTAGTATTTCCCAGTTTTGGGATCGATGCGGTTGAGCTAGCAGCTAACTTTCCACTATTCTGGCTGCAATCTCTAGCCATATGCCCCATTTTACCACATTTAAAACAAGCTCCCGACACACGGTAACAAACTCTACGATGCCTTTTAATACAAATATTGCACATTAGAGATGTATCTTGGGAAGAATTCGAAGTACTCGAGGAGCCCGTATTTTATTTCTTTGAAAATTTCTTCTTCGAAAAGAAGCCTTGCCTTTTTCTATCCTTCTAGTCGGTTGCTGGTTTAGCTTGTCTGGCTATATTAGCTTCTGATATTATGGCCCGGTCTAGCACCTTAATATAGGTCTCTAGCTTGAGAACATTCACCTTTTCTAAAATATCATCTCGGAGCCCTCCCTCAAAATGTCTTGCTTTCTTGTAGTTAGTGCCAACCACATGTGGTGCAGACCTAGCCAATTCAGTAAACTTGCCCTCATACTCAGCTACAGTCATGCTGTTTTGTTTCAGTTCCATGAACTCCGACACTTTTTTGTCTCGGACACACTGTGGAAAATATTTTTCATAGAAAATCTCCAAGAACCGTACCCAACCGATGCTTTTATTGTTTTCACGCATTAGCATCCACCACCTTCTTGCCTCATCTTCAAGGGTGAAAGTGGCTAAAAGTACTTTTTGTGTCTCTGAACAGGGAAACATCTCAAACAGCTTTTCAATGCCGAGAACCCACGCTTCGGCTTTTAACAGATCTAATCCCCCCTGAAACTGCGACGATTTCATTTTCTTAAATTCTTTGGTGAGAGCTATTATTCGGTCATCATTCTGTAAGTCTGGCACAGGTGGTGCCGGAGGTGGAGGTGGAGGATGTGATTGCTGCCACTGTTGTTGCCATTGTTGTTGTTGCCTCAATGTTTCTGTCATTTCTTGAATCAATCTTTCCATCCTATCCATTCTGGCAGTAGAGGACTACTCCATCTCATCACCTCTTGTTCTCACCATCTGATTAGACTTGCATTATTCTTTATACAAAAGTTTCACAAGTATGCATCTACTAAAGAGCATACATATTCGCATCATTTGCAATGCAAGTAAATCACAAACATATAGCATATAATCATTTATCTCAAAGCATTTAAGCACATTCTCAATGTTTACAAATTCCTACTCATCACATGAATGCATCCTAGATCTTTTCTAGATGCTTATTGCTCTTTTGGACAAGTTTGTGAGTTATTAACTCGTGCTCTGATACCACTCTATCATCACCCGAATCCACCCCTATGGGTTAAGGACATAACCGGACAGTAATCATGAGATTACCAACGGCCTCAAACCAAATAAAACATTTTCCCAACGGAGTTAAGGGGCCAAAACGGAAGCAACTTAAATCTTTGTCCATTGAGTTGTGCTTACATGGTATAGTAAAATCATTCCACAACATTTTATAATAACTCACACATATTCACAAAGTTAGTCTTCATCCAGGAACTTCCAGTTATACAGTCAGCCAGACAAAACTTATATAAAAAAGTAATTCATCGTTTTTGCAAATCATAGCAAGAATATACAAAAGGACAAAAGGGCGAAAACAAGTCTCGTGCGTGAGACATGAGGGCTGACTCCTCAAAACTCTGACTATCTCTCACATACTTCACTGAGGCTGGGTTTGGACGTTCCTTGGCTCACCTACAGGCACATGAATGAGAATGAGCGAAAGCCCAGTGAATAATATCAAATAAAGAAGGTACATGAATGGAGTTTGAAACAAATACATCAAACGGCCTGGGGCCCAATTCATATTTCTACTTAGTGTATCAAGTGACTACAGATTCAGACGTATCAAACGGCCTCGGACCCAATCCATTCATTTCCTGCGGCCTTTGGCCTATTCATTCATGTCCGACGGCCTTTGGCCCAATCATTCATATCCAACGGCCTTTGGCCCATTTATTCATATCCAACGGCCTTTGGCCCATTCATTCGTATCCAACGGCCTTTGGCCCAATCATTCATATCAAACGCCCTTTGGCCCAATCATTCATGTCAAATGGCCTTCGGCCTAATCATTCATTCAGTTTAGCAGACTTATGAAACTCAAATAGGAGTAAGCAATAGACCAAATGGCATACTTCAAAATATCTTTACTAAGATATTACTCACAAGGATCTGCCGAATGGTTTGCCCTTGTGCTTGACCTTACACATTTCATAAACATAATGGGTCTCAAATGATTCAATCCGTTCTTAACTTATACATTCCTCTTTGGCCTCTTTCTTATCTTCTTAATCCATTTACAATGTTCAATGCATGCCTAAGAGTTCTTAGAAGTGAAAGAGAATAGAAAACGAAACACAAAACATCTCTACAAAATTTTTGAAACAGGGCTCCCCGCTCGAGCGGACCCCTTTGGTCTGCAAAAGTACTGGTTGCCTCATTTTTACGCTCGAGCGTGACTTCAGACGCTCAAGCTGAGAGTTCGAAAAATGAGACTAACGCTCGAGCGTGACTCTCCCCGCTCGAGCAGACATCAATGTCTGCAAAAGTTCTGGGAGCTAACATTTCACGCTTGAGCGGTGCTTTCCCCGCTCGAGTGGACATGCCAAATTCTAGAATTTCCAGAACTGTTCTTGAAGCTCAAAATCGATATTCAAAGGCCCAAAACTCATGTTATTGGTTCAAAAATGTGGAAACACATTATATATCATGAGTATAAAAGCAATGTGAGGCCAATTGTTCAAAATCATGATCCAATTCTCAATTCATCTCAACAAAACACATAGCTTCAAAATTAAACTCCAATATACATATAACCAAACTCCATAAACTCCTTGAATTATACATGCATGTGTACTATAGACTCCAATACCTTTCCAAATGGCACAAGTGATGTTTATACTCATGAAACTCAACAAAACCATGCTTGCATGTATGATTCAACACTCAATTTCTCATATTCAACTTGTTACATGCTTGATGATGCATTTTCATGGCAATTCTACGCATGCATGTGCACATAAACTTCAATTTCATCATAATCAACACCATTCATGTTCTTGATTACCATTTAACCTAGAATTCACAAAATCACAAACTCAAACTCATAAATTTACTCACCTAGAAGTTCAAGTCTTCCAAATTCTAATTAATCCTTGAGTTAAACTCCAAGATCTTCAATCTTCTTGAGCAATTCTCTAACTTGAGCTCACTCTCTCTCTCTATAACTGGCACACTCTCCCTCTCTAGAGTGCAATCTCAGCAAAAATGAGCTCAAAACCATAATATGAAGCTATATAGGCCCTTATGTAGGATGGCCTAATCAAATTTTGATTAAGGCTAATCAATAGTGCTTGATTAATCATTCTGAATCTAATTATTTTGATTCGAATAAATTTTCAATTAAATTTCACCATAGGCTCTAAAAATTACGCTAATCACAATGGCGTGATCAATTTCAGTTTCTGTGACTAATAAGGCCTTCAATTTAAATTCTAAAACAGAAAATCAAACATGTTTTCCTACGGCAAACAGATAGAAATTCAAAACCACATATAACCATATAAATGACACTAAAAATCATATTAAACACATAACCACAATCATAAATAAGATCAATTAGCGTAATACGGAACATGGTTATCACATTTACACCTTCTGTGAAAAGCATAAGCCTTTTTTGAAAAGTTACACCGTTTGTGAAATAAATTTTTTCATAAAATTTACACATTTTGCTAAAAACAAACACCTTTTCTAAAAGTTTACACCTTTTTGTGCAAATACTTACACCTTTTTCTGAAAAGTTACTCCATTTGTGAATTAATTTTTTCCATAAAATTTACACCTTTTATGGGAAGTCACACATTTTCTGAAAACAAAATTTACACCTTCTGTAACATTACTTGCACATTTTGTGAAAATATTAACACGTTTTTTTTGAAAATTTACTCCTTTTATGGAAAATTTGCTTTCATAAAAGTTATACCTTTTGTGAAACCTTACACCTCCTCTGAAAGTTTACACCTTTCAGTGGAAGTACTTACACCATTTCTGAAAAGTTACTCCTTTTGTGAAATTATTTTTTTTATAAAATTTACACCTCCTATTGGAACTTACATCTTTTTTAAAAGAAAACTTACACCTTCTGCCAAATAACTTACATCTTTTGTGAAAACATTTACAGCTTTTTTGAAAATTTACACGTTTTATGGAAAATTTCCTGTCACAAAATTTACTCCTTTTTGTTAAAAAGTTACACCTTTTCAGAAAGTTTACGCCTTTTGGTGGAAATACTTACACCTTTTCAGAAATAATTTTTTTCATAAAATTTATAGCTTTCGTTGGAACTTACAACTCCTTTTGTGAAATTATTTTTTTTATAAAATTTACACCTCCTATTGGAACTTACATCTTTTTTAAAAGAAAACTTACACCTTCTGCCAAATAACTTACATCTTTTGTGAAAACATTTACAGCTTTTTTGAAAATTTACACGTTTTATGGAAAATTTCCTTTCACAAAATTTACTCCTTTTTGTTAAAAAGTTACACCTTTTCAGAAAATTTACGCCTTTTGGTGGAAATACTTACACCTTTTCAGAAATAATTTTTTTCATAAAATTTACAGCTTTCGTTGGAACTTACACATTTTCTTTTCACAAAAGTTACAACTTTTGTCAAATAACATACATCTTTTGTGAAAACATTTACACCTTTTTAAAAATTTACACCTTTTATGGAAAAAGTTGTAAATGTTTTCACAAAAGATGTAAGTTATGGCACAAAAGGTGTAAGTTCTAATAAAATGTGTAAATTGTATGCAATTTTTTTTTTCACAAATGGAGCAACTTTTCAGAAAATGTGTAAATATTTTCCCCAAAAGGTGTACACTTTCAGAAAAAGTGTAAGTTTTTAACAAAAGGTGTAAACTTTACGAAAACATATTTTCCATAAAAGGTGTAAATTTTGAAAAATCGTGTAACTGTTTTCACAAAAGATGTAAGTTATGTCACAAAATATGTAACTTTTGCTTTCAGAAAAGGTGTAAGTTCTAATAAAAGGTGTAAATTTTGTGGAAAAACTATTTCACAACAGGAGTAACTTCTCAGAAAAGGTGTAAGTTTTTAACAAAAGGTGAAAACTTTTCCATAAAAGGTGGAAATTTTCAAAAAAGATGTAACTGTTTTCACAAAAGATGTAAGCTATGTCACAGAAGGTGTAACTTTTGTTTTCATAAAAGGTGTAATTTCTAATAAAATGTGTAAATTTCATGCAAAAAAAAATTTCACAAAAGGAGTACATTTTCAGAAAAGGTGTAAGTATTTCCATCAAAAAGGGTAAACTTTCAGAAAAGGTGTAACTTTTTAACAAAAGGTGTAGACTTTTTGAAAACATATTTCCCATAAAAGGTGTAAATTTTCAAAAAGGTGTAACTATTTTCACAAAAGATGGATGCTATGTCACAAAAGGTGTAACTTTTATTTTCAGAAAAGGTGTAAGTTCTAATAAGAGGTGTCAATTTTATGGAAAAAATTATTTCACAAATGGAGTAACTTTTTAGATAACGTGTAAGTATTTCCACCAAAAGGTGTAAACTTTAAGAAAATGTGTAAGTTTTTAACAAAAGGTGTATATTTTATGAAAGGAAGTTTCCATAAATGGTGTAAATTTTCAAAAAGGGTATAAATGTTTTCAGAAAAGTTAAGAAAAGGTGTAAACTTTAATGAAAACATATTTTCCATAGAAGGTTTCAATTTTTTAAAAGCTGTAAATTTTTTCACAAAAGAT